TCATGATGGTTTTCAAAGCATCACTTCACCTGATACATACAAAAAATAGGAGAAAGGAAGGAATTAGTACTCAATTCATGTATTTAAACACCATGTGCTATGGCTGGCCCCTGGCCTATGACACATGTAACTCTTCTGATAAAGAAAATGAAGCTGAGGGCCTGAAGAGATGCACCCAATGTTGCCTGGAAGATAGGTGAAAAGTTCTGAGCCTGGGTGGGACTCTGTCCATTCTACCCCTTTGTCTAGAAGCTCTCATGCTGAGGCAGGGTGGCCCTGAACTCTGGTCAGCCGCCTAGAGCTGCCCTTCTCAGCGTTAGAAGAAAACCGGCCCACTCCTATGGCCACAAAAGATGTGGTGATCACCTCACGTTGGCGTTTGCTCCATTGTCCAAAAGGAACTTGACCACCTGCTGGTGCCCGGCACTGGTGCAGTGGAAGAGGGCAGTCCAGCCTTGAATGTCCTTCATCTCTAGCTCAGCACCTTGCTTCAAGAGAACACAGAATGTGTGTTACAGCCTCGTCTCCTCTGCGCAGGGCAGGCGCCCTCCAGGCCGTCATGCTGAAAGAATCAGAAGTGATTACACGAGTACACACGCACGCCATGGCCTGCAGTGGTTCACGTCTCTGTCAGAGCAGCTGGGGGAGCCCCTCAGGTTTCTGGGCCTGAGTCCCCTCGTAGCTCACCTGGAGGAGAAAGTAGGCGATGCTCTCGTTGCCACAGCTGGAGGCCAGCATCAGTGGAGTCTGCCCTTCCGGGGTCGGCACATTCACACTCACCCCTGCCTCGAGCAGCAGGTGCACGATGGTATCGTGTCCAATGTAGGAGGCATACATCAGCGGGGTCCAGCCACCACCATTCTTCTTATTCAAATCTAACTCTCTCCTAAACAAACGCAAGATATGCTAGACACGCCCAGCCATCTCACACATGGGGTTTACCAAAGCCGGTGTGGCAAGTCCAGGCCCAGCGGAACAAGTTGACAGGAAGGAGAAGTTGTCTGCCACCCTGGATGTCACTGGGGTGGGGGGCAGGCAGGCAGGGAAATGCTTATAGTTGCTCGTATGACTACCTTTGCAAAGGTCTTGGCCTTTGTCTCCCTCCTCTGATTTCATATTCTCATCTGCCCTCCTCCTAGCTCAAGATGAGCAACTCGACTTTGTTTTTTCATACCACCAGCTAGCTAGATGGTACTCAACCAGGGGGTGTTTGGAGAAGTCTGGAGACATTTTGGTTATCATACCTGGGGAGGGAAGAGCTATTGGCATTTAGCAGGTGGAGGCCAGGGATGCTGCTAAACATTCTGCAGTGCACAGGACGGCCGCCTGCAGCAAAGAATGCTCTGGCCTGGACTGTGAGCAGTCAAGGCTGAGAACCCTGACCTGAGTCTTGACCACCTAGCACTAAGTGACCAGAGTCTGCTAGTCCACCGGTGGGTGGAGAGGGGCAACGAGGAGAGAGGAAGGGACTCGGACGATGGACAAGTCCCACTCATTTCTCCTGTTACCTTACCCTACAGAAACATTCTCGACAAATTTGTTACCAAAGAATCCTGTATTTCCATTAAAATTCTGAAAATGCATTTTTGTACAGAAAAATAAAAATGTGGGCTTCCCAGCCCAGACTTTGGGGTTAGGGTAGGGAGCTACATTTTAAAATAACATCCACTCCCAGGGGCATGTTGCACAGTTAACGCCTCACAGGCCTTTCGTCTTCCATAATCCTTGCCTCCGGTGGTGGCAACAACTGACCACCAAGCCACACACTTTGTGCCTCTTGCAGGATACACACATTAAGCTATACCAGGCAATTGCTCCATTCACTAGCATCTTCTACTGACTCTGGGATGCACGCCTAGGCAGCCGTTCCAGAAGGTCCTGATCCTACCAGGAGTGCAGTGGCAGCCACTGGCCGGGGGAGCCATGTGGAGACACCTCCTGGAGTGAATCTGAATGGACCCAGTTCATCCCTCTACTGCTTTCCTCTACACAGCGGCAGAGCATCTCTCTGAGGCTCTCTTGCCTCCCCTTCACCCCCAATCCTCCCTTCTGATGCCTCCAACTTCCCTCTAGCCCCAGTCTGTGCTTACTGCCAGCAAGCCTCCATCTCAGCTAGTGTCAAAATCCCCTGTCGAACGCTTGCTTCCCCTCTGCTCCTCCGTGGAGTCGGTCTGGACTATGCATTTTATTAATAGCACGACACCCAAAGCTTTGAGATCCTGAGAACTCCAAAGGAGCAGAGTACAACAGTGGTCTTGGTGAGCCTGTGAAGGGGCATGCTGACTGCATACCCACGGGAGTGCCACAAATGACCCTTTCCCGGGGTGCACTGGTACCCCACTGGCCAGGTATGTCTAAGTAAGGGCCTATGACTGGGAAACCACTTGGGAACCAGAGATCTGGGGCTTCAACGAGGCTTTGTTTTGGCTCAGCAGGAACTGGAGGAGGCACACAGCGGTATGGACAGAAATCGCTGCACCAAGTTATCAAATGAGAAATGGGAAACAGAGAAAGCATAAAGTATGGCGGAACACAAAGGGGTAGAGGTAAGGAGAGGACCCCTTTTCCAAAAATTACATTAAGTATCATGTTGTACTATGAGCAAGACGCAGCCACGGGCCCTGCCAAGGGCTTTTCGTTGTACTGGGACTTACTATTCCTATAAAGATTAGCAAGACGGCAAGTGGGCAGTGAGGCTGGGAGGCCACCCCCAGAAGGGAACTAAAAGCCAGCCTCTCTCCTCCTTTGTGGCAGAAAAGGGATCGAATAAACCCTCCGGGGAAAGAATGCCAGGGCCATCACTTTCTAGTGTTATTTTTGTTTTGTTTGTTTGTTTTAGCATTTCTGCAATTAGTGAAAATCATTAAATTACTCTGGTTAAAGTAAACTATCAATTAATGTTTATAAGCCTATGATTAAAGTTTAAATCACCTTTTCCTTCCTAGAAATAAAAACTGCCGTCCTTGTCAGTGCCCAGCATAAATCATCACTGACAAGTGCCTGACTGGAGGGTAACCCACCCCATGTATGTTAAACGTGTACAACTGTGTGCGAAGCCCCATCCCATGGGATCTGAAGCCACTGAGATGCTTCTGAAAATGTGAGAGAAGGAAGTTCCCCAAGATCTCTTACCGCTGCACACATTCCTTCACCACTTCGTACTGGCCGATGGACGCAGCTGTGTGAAGATCCAAGGGCACGTCCAGCTCCTCCTTGCTGACCTGCGCCCCCAGCCCGTGCCACATGGACAAGCTGCGGTTCAGGAGTTCCGGCTCGCTGGCCTCGTCGCTGAGCTCAGACATCACTGTGGAGGGAGGCCCAGGGGTTGGGTCTTTCCTTCCTGTTGTTCCAGGGGATGAACAGGCTAGTCATACTCCAACCCTCTGTAGGCGGCTACATCACTAACCTATCAGATTGCTACGCCATGCAGTCAACCCTGGGACTGACTTAGACAATGTTCTACGGTTAAATAGTCTATGGTCTGGGCAGCTCCATCATGCGAACGCTGGCGAGCTTGACACCAGGCAGAAAAAGACGAGCACGCGTGGTGAGTCATTAACTGCAGTGTCCGTTTTCCTTCTTACATCCACAGACCCCAGATTCCAAAAGGGCATTCTCCAGGAACACTAGAAGCCTGAAAACCTCTCAGACGGGCAGTAACGAAATGCTAATTGGGTCATTTGATCAAATCAGCTCCTGGTTTGGTGGGAAAGAATCCTAGATTGGGGGTTAGATCAAAATTCAGCTCTGCTACTTAGCATCTCCAATCCCACTTCCTCACTGGCTAACGGGGCCATGATATCTCACAGCTGCTGTTGTAACACATGGAAGAACAGATGAACTATGGTGGTACAGCCATACGATGGAATGTTACACAGCAGTAAACACCACACAGGAAAGAATTTCAAATGCATTATGCTAAATAGAAGAGGTCATTCAAAAGGCTGCCTCCTGTGTAATTTCCTTTATGACATTCTAGAAAAGGCAAAACCAAAGGGCTGGAGGCCCGATAGCAATTCCAAGGGATAGGGTCGGGGACCCCAAAGGGGCAGTAGAGGAAATTTTGGGGGTGACAGACCTGTTCTCTATCTTGACTGTGGTGGTAATAAGTGACTCTATGCATTTATCAAAACCCAAAGACCTGAACACCAAAATCAATTTCACTGTATGTAAATTTTATATAAATTAATGTTTTTGAGAAAAATGGAAAGAAAGCCCCCAACACAGAAACCAGGATGTGGCTGGCAGTACTCAGCAAATGTCAACTGAACAGCAATCTACCCATGCATTCCTTGAAAGCGGGAGAGATAAAGGGGGAAGCAAGATAGGCTGGTAAACTGGGGAGGTGACACTTTCCTTGCCATGGAAAATACCAGTAATGGCACACCAGGAATCCTACCCAAATGAAAGCCAAGTCATTAGCTTCCTAGTAGAATCCTAAGGTCTAGGAGTGACAGGAAAAAGTGTAGAAAAGGGGGCAAATGAGAAGAAAAAGAAGGCCTTGTCACATTCAGATGACCTAAAAGTACTGTGGTAGTTTATAGATGCCATTAGAACCTCAGTTTCTACTAAAGAACGCTTCCAAGCCCCAGGTGACAGCCAAGATGGCCAAATAAATAAGTCACAAATGTAGGGGACAAAGACTTTGCAGGCCGTTGGTGAGAGTGTGTGTGGGTCTGACAGGCAGTAATAGCTGGATATAAAGCCCTGCTTCCCGGACCACCCCCTTCTCAGCTGGCAGAGCCTGAGATAACGCAGCCCCCTCCCTGAACAGTCCTGACCAACAGAGCCTCGATAAGAACCCACATAAGCTGAGTGTCAGTTCAGGGTCCCTTCCAATATATCCCTCAAGCCATCCTTGGGCATGTCTCTCCTACTCCCAAGGCCTCCCCCAGGGTGGGGCCCACGTTCTCTCTCCATTTATTGGGCATTCACATGTCTGACACCCCCAAAGCTCTGAGGAGCAATCAGAACCAGACCCAGCCTCCAAGAGCCTATGGAGGGAGAACTCGAATGTCCGGGAACTGCAAAGTTACTATGATTTCCTTTATCACTCTGCCACATGACAAATACTCCCCAACGATGGGGAATACGTTAACAAATTACCATTCTATTCATGCATATATTTGCATACATGTTGAAAGTTTTTTTTGCATTTCGCTTCCAGAACTTATCTTCAGGAAGTAGCACTGGGGATGAGATCGTTTAATTTTCACTTTACCTTTTGTTTCCGTCCATTTTGTAATATGCTGTTACCTTTAAAATGAATTTTAACTAAAAAAAAAAAAAAAAAGTGATGCTGGTGGGCACTGCCACGCCCACGGAGGAGGTTTGGCCCGGGCTTGGGGAGTTAGGGCCACCCCGGAACTGCAGCAGGGACTGGGGTGTCGCAAAGCTAGCTCACAGGCCCCGTGGTGGGTCCCCAGCCAACAGCCCGAGCACCAACAGCCACAGACGCTTCTCGACGCCTGCCTCGCAGGCATCCCCACACTGACCCTACAGTGCGCAGGGCGTTACCGTCCCCGCTCCACACTTACAGAAGCGGAGGCTCGGAGTCATCGGGCCACGCGGCGAACAAGCGAAGGGTCGGACGCCCGAGGGCCGGGCCCAGGCGGGCAGCAGGTGCCAGCACCTGGAGGGACCCGGACGTCACGGAGCCTACCTGCGCTGGGCCTCAGGCCTCCGGCCGCCCTTGAGGCGCCGCCGCGCTCCCTCGCCGGGCCACCGCCCCCGGGCCCCGCTCCCACACCCGCGCCGCCACACCGCCCGGCCCGGAAGTGGTTGTGGGAGGGCGCGAAGCACGCCGGGACGCTAGCAGGTCCACGCCGGGGCAGCTCGTCGCCGTGGAATTCGCCGGTCCCGCACCCCGACCTTCCGGTCAATTTGCCCAGCTCGCTGAGTGATGCCGGCGATAGCCAATGAGCAGGGGTTGTTCTCCCTGCCCCGCCCCCCTGGCAAGGGGAACCAATCCTGTTGCAAGAGAGGTAGGACGCGCCCAGTCCCGAAAGGGGAGCAGGGAAGAGAGCGGCCGGCGGCCCAGTAACATAAGGTTCTGCTGAGGGGTATCTGAGCGAGGTGACAGCCTCAGTAATCGCGCCGCGGCCCGAGCGGGCGAACGCGACTGGAGTGACGCGCTGGAGGCTGTTTATAGCCCTGTCAGGACCGCGCAGGGAGTGGAGGCGGCGGCCCGCGGTGAGTGGCCTCGGGCCTGCCGCAGCTGCGGAAATAAACGTCAGGAGTTGGACTGGACGGGGGAAAACAGAGGCTGGGCCTGGGGGAGAGGAAGGACAGTAGGCTTTCCGGTTTCCCAGCTTTAGGTTTTAAAAGCACGACCCAGAAAGCCGTTGGCGTCTGGTTGCCATAACAACCGGCAGCCTCCTGGCAGGCGGGGCGGGGCGGCGCTAACGGGCGGCAGCCGGTACAGGGCCGGCGACCGCGACCTCGCCTGCTGGATGTGCAGAGCCCCTCAACTTGGCCTTCAGGACCCTTCACTGTTCGGCCCGTTTTCACTGCAGATGCCAGCAACTGACACCTTCCTTCAAACGTGTCAGGCATTTTTCACTCCTCTGAGCCATTGTACATGCATTTCCCTCTGCCGGTAATGCCTTTCCCTGCCCTACTGCCTTGTCCTCCTGAAGAACTATCAGAGTCTCTGGTGGTCCCCTTCACCTTGGCGATTCTGTTGCCCTATGAAATACTGTTCCCTGAATTGCAGAACAGAGCCCCAGTGACAAAAAACATCCCCTGGTTGTGTACCAGATGTGTCCCCACCACACTGCTCCCAGTTCAGGGTGCACCAAGCATCTGCCCTCGGTCCCAAAAAGCCCCTGCTGCTGCCCTGACCTGGAGTGAAGGGACCTCACTGCAAAGCCAATGCCAGCGAGGGCTGGGCCAAGGTGGGGCAGCACTGCGTCCCCATTTTATAGGCACAGTGACCCTCAGGCAATGTCTCCAGACATTGGCTCTGCAGTACCATCACCCCATATCCCGCAAGGCCCCTAGCCTGGGAGGAACAGGACCATCTTCTTCTAGACTCTGAGATACAAAGGTGGGGGCTGGCACAGTGCCTGGGTATAAGGGGCTAAGGATGTAAGGTGAGTGGTGACTCCAAAATGTCTCTAGTCTGTTCCTTTGTAAGGGGCAGAAAAGGGTAGTGGGGCTTGAAATTCCCCCTAACTGATTCAGATTCTATCTTCTCCATTTACTAACCTCTCTGAGCCTACGAAATGGCAGTAATAGTATTATGTTACATGGGATATATTATATAATATCCATATATCATTATATATCATCTACACATATCATTCTACATATGTGTGTATATCATATATCAATACGTATACCTGTATATTATCATATATACCATTATATACATGATACACAGGCTCTGCTGTACTACACATACCCACAGAGTGCCTGGCACTCAATTACAGGAGCTTGCAGAACCCGAAGGAAGCTGGGGTAGGGGTCGAGGCCTGCCAGTCTGTTTTCACCTCCTACAGATGGTAGCGGCTTTGAAAAGGCAGCCCTCGCTCTCCTGACCCTTGCTGCCTCGACTCCCTTACCTCACTCTGTGTGCTCCGCAGGGCTCCTTGGATGATGGCGCACTGAGAAGGCATCTGCGGGCCTAGGCCCCCATGGCATCCAAAGACAAAGATGTGGCACCCTCACCTGGCTCTGCCTGGGCCTCCAAGGTGGGGCCCTGGGATGCCATCCTCGAGGCCGTCAAAGACCAGCTCCCATCTCTGGACTCAGACTCCTCCTTGGTGAGCAGGAGTTTTCTTCCTGGGTGCAATTGTCCTTCCTTCCCGTGACAGGCATGATGCTGACCAAGGACAACTTTGGAGCACTCCTCTCTGCAGACTTCTCTTGCTGACTTGTGGAGTTTGTTTTCATTTTATTTTAAATCATCCGAGGCTGGGCATGCTGGCTCACGCCTCTAATCCCAGCACTTTGGGAGGCTGAAGTGGGAGGAACAATTGAGGTCAAGAGTTCCAGACCAGCCCGGGCAGCATAGTGAAACCCCATCTCTACAAAAAATTAAACATCAGCTGGGTGTGGTGGCACACACCTGTAGTCCCAGCTACTTGTGAGGTTGAGGCAGGAGGATCGTTTGAGACCAGGAGTTTGAGGCTGCTCTGATGGCACCACTGCACTCCAGCCTGTGCAACAGAGCGAGACCCTGTCTCTTAAAAAACAAAAATCGTCTCACCAGACTTACAGCTGTGTTTTCTGGGTTCCTATTTCCTTCTTTATCCTTTCTTCTGTGTTTATCGTAATCTCTGGACATGTGTGTTGGCACTCAGCATCCTCAAGGACCATTTCGGTGGGGGTTCTGGCCCTGACTTAGAACTCAGCTTGGCTTGATGCTGCAGCCCTGCTCTTTCTGATCTGCCGTTGCGTTCTCAACTCTCTCTCGGGCCAGAACCACCACCCGGAGTGGTTACCCTTCCAGTGCATCCTGATAGGCCTTTGAGAGATTCTCCAGTAGTGGTTTGAGGTCACTGAGATGGCCCTTGAGGACACTCAGCACCAAGTCATATGTACACGTGTAAGACTGGACAGTCACCCTGCCCACGATGCACCGGGGCAGGGGCCGCTTAACACACAGGTTGGCCCTGGGTATTTAGAGAAAGGACAAGAGTTTTAGAAGTAACAAGCCAGGTTTGGGTCCTGCCTGGGCACCTGCAACAGAGCTTCTGGGACCTCAGGGTCATCCAGTGCCCAGTGAGGCTAAAGAGTACACAAGGCGGCTGGGCGCGGTGGCTCACGCCTGTAATCCTAGCGCTCTGGGAGGCCGAGGCAGGCGGATTGTTTGAGCTCAGGAGTTCGAAACCAGCCTGAGCACGAGCGAGACCCCGTCTCTACTAAAAATAGAAAGAAATTAATCGGACAACTAAAAACACATAGAAAAAATTAGCCGAGCATGGTGGTGCATGCCTGTAGTCCCAGCTACTTGGGAGGCTGAGGCAGGAGGATCGCTTGAGCCCAGGAGTTTGAGGT